AAGCGGAATCCACGACATGCGAGTGTGGAGAAGAGCAAACTTTGTGTTTTGTCTGTCTGTTTGTTTGTTTGTTTTGTTAAAATGTAATACAATTGTCCGGTTGCTCCTGACATGATAAATAAAAATAAACTATATTTTATGTTGTTGGGGGCATTGAATTATGCCAATTGCAAATCACCTTGAGTCACCTCCGGGCTGAGAAAGGATGTATATAAATATTTATTTATTATTTATTTATTTACAGTACTTATATTCCACCCTACTCACCCGCAGGGGACTCAGGGCGGATTACAATGTACATATACATGACAAACATTCAATGCCATAGACACACAACATATATAGACAGACACACAGAGGCTATTTAACATTCCAGCTTTTTCATGAGGGTATTCTGGCCACCAGGGGAGCTGTCACTTCACCATCCATTTGTGACACTGATGAAGTACTTCCTCATTCTTTGCATGCTTGCTGGAGATTTTTATGGCTCCGTAAATTAGTTAAATTTGCCTCCCTACATAAACAGTACCTAAATTTTCTACTTGACAGATGCAACTGTCTTTCGGGTTGCAAAGGTCAACAACAAGCTACACAAATTGGCCGGAAGCTCACTCCAACCCGGGCTGGCTTCGAACTCATGACCTTTCGGTCAGTAGTGATCTTAATGCAGCTGACTCCCAACTGCGCTACAGTCTCAGTGCTATGGTAAATAAATAAATAAATAAATGTCGGTAAGGTAGATTAGCGTTATTATCCTAATATCAGGCAGTTTGGCAGGGAGTCATGGCTGAGAGATGAGCCCTGCCTCTAGATGTTGAGTAAGTTGCAAGATTTGGGAGTTTCGGGGTCGAATCTGATTTCAACACACAATATCTGTTCACCATCCCTCTTAAGAACATTAAACCTTTGTGTTGGTAGGACTGAAGACTGACAGGTTGGAGGTTCAAATTTGGGGAGAGAGCAGATGAGCTCCCTCTTTCAGCTCCAGCTCTCCGTGCGGGGACATGAGAGAAGCTTCCACAAGGATGGGAAAAAAGTGTCAAGACATCCGGACATCCCCTGGGCAACATCTTTGCAGACGACCAATTCTCTCAAGTCAAAAGCAGCTTCTCAAGTTGCTCCTGACACGAAAAAATGGACTCTCTCCTGACCAGGAGTCTTAGTCTAAGACCCACTGGGATCTGCCATCTCAGAAAAGGACAACAATCAGTACGGTATGGAAAAGCAATTTATTTTTTTATCAGTAAAATATCTAAAATCTCAGGTGCCTACTCTCCAAGGAACTGCAACTCTTCTCTCACTTCTGAGCCTACACGGATTCAATCTATTGTTATATAGAGTGTTAACTTTACTGCCTCAATAGATGTGCAATGCGCTTAAATGACTGGTGCGCAGAGCGCTGGCTTTATGTTCTCCTCCCTTTTTCTTTCTCTCTTTCCTTCCCACTCCCACCTTCCTTCCTTCCCTTTTTTCTTTCCTTCCTTCCTTCCTTCCTTCCCTCTTTCTCCCACCTCCCTTCTATCTCTCCTTCCTTCCTTCCTTCCTTCCCCTGTCTCTTCTCTCTCTCTCGCCCTCTTCCTCCTCCTTTTCTATCCTTAAGTGACCCTCATGTCCTCCATTCTCTCTGCCTCTCCTTCTCTTCCCTTCCATTCCCCTTCACACACGAACCTTTTCTTTCCCCATTTTTTCATTCCTCTCCCCCTTTCATCCTCCTTCCCTTTCTCCCCTCTCCTCCTCTCCTCCCTCCTCTTGGCAGCCGGGACACCTCAATGCTCATTCATGGCTGTCTCCCACTCCCCTCCCCTACTCATCTCTCCCTTCCTCGATCTTCCTCCCCCCATCCAATCTATTGTTATATAGAGTGTTAACTTTACTGCCTCAATACATGTGCAATGCGCTTAAATGACTTGTGCGCAGAGCGCTGGCTTTATGAATTCCCTGACCATTGTGCGCAAGAGAAAATAAAATCAAGAGTAACACTGCATTAACAGCAGCATTGGTTTTATACTGTCAATTTCCTTGTTTTATTTAGCTTTACAGAGGAATGAGCGAAACCATATAAAGAAAAGAAATCAAGAAATGAGAACAGATGCAGACTGGCAAGTGTGTCAGACTCCAAAAGCTCCGGCTGAAATCTTATTTGCTTCTAAAATGTGCTTTTGATGCAGAAAGCGGACCTTAGGTTCCTGTGTCTTACAGAGAGAACTAGACATTTCAGGGACAGGATGGTGTTTAACATCTATATGCGACCACTTGCTCAGCTGGTTCGAGGTTTTGGGCTTGAGTGTTATCAGTACGCTGACACTCAGCTGGTGCTGAAGATGGAAGGCCGACCGGACTCTGTACCCGATTGTTTCCATCAGTGCCTCGAGGCCGTTACTGGATGGCTGCGTGCCAGCAGGTTGAGGGTGAATCCAGCAAAGACGGAGATCCTATGGCTGGGTCAACCAGGCAGTGGGGATATCCAGCTGCCTACCCTGGATGGCGAGGCGCTACGCCCGTCATCATTGGTAAAGAGTCTGGGAGTCCTTTTGGACCCTCTGCTGACAATGGAGGCCCAGGTCTCCGCCGTTAGCAGAACCGCCTTTTTTCATCTGCGGCAGGCTAGACGGCTGGCCCCCTCCCTGTCCAGGGACGACCTAGCTATGGTGATCCAGGCTACGGTCATCTCAAGACTGGACTACTGTAACGCCCTCTACATTGGCCTTCCTCTGTCGGTGATCCGGAAGCTCAAGTTGGTACAAAATGCAGCTGCTCGGCTTCTTGCGGGAATTCCGATGAGATGCCACATAACACCAATCTGACTGCAGCTGCATTGGTTACCAATTGAGCACCGGATCACTTTCAAAGTGATGGTACTCACCTTCAAGGCCTTGCATGGTCTGGGGCCGATGTACCTGAGGGACCGCCTCACCCCCTACCAACCCCAGAGATCCCTCCGTTCTGAGGAACCAAGATCTGTTGGAAATTCCCAGTGTCAAGACCTTGCGTCTAACAGCAACCAGACGCAGAGCCTTCACAGCAGTGGCACCATCACTCTGGAATACTCTGCCACCTGAAGTCCGTGCCTTGCAGGATTTATCAGCTTTCTGCAGGGCATGTAAGACATACCTATTTTGATGGGCCTTTGATCTCTGATTGTTTTTAAATTGTTTTAAATTGTGTTCGATTTTAGCCGTTCTTGTAAGCCGCTCCGAGCCCCAGGGGAGTGGCGGCATATAAGTTTAAATAATAAATAAGTAAATAAATAAATAAATAAAATATTGCGACACACAGTTTGATTTAAAATGTTCTCTCTAGAGATCTCTGGGTCCTCCAGAGTAACTCTGGTCAACTTCCTCCAGTCATCCTGGAAAACCTAGAGATTTCTCAAGAGAATCTCTAGGAATCCCTAGTTCCTACAGTACAATTCTACAGCAAGTCTGAAGCTTGAAGCACCATGTTAGAAGATCTAGTCTAGACATTCCTAGTGATCTGGGGTGGGGGGGGGGGTATTTCTCTTTGTTAGTGTATCCTGGCATTGAATGTTTGCCATTTTTTTGTTGGAAACCACCCTGAGTCCCTTTGGGGAGATAGGGCAGTAAATAAATAAACTTTATTTTTATTTGTGTATGTGTTCTCTCAGGTAAAAAAAAACATTGTAATTTCTTTATTTACAGGTTTTAATGTTTGCAGCACATCTCTTCTCCAAACCCTAGCAAATGTGAATGGTTAACTGTTGTTTTGAGTATCCTTTGCTGTTTTGAGTCTTTTATTTATTTATTTAATGATTCACAACACTTATATTCTGCCATTATTATTAGCAGTACCCGCCACCCGTTGACGTGGCCAACCTTCCCTCCCTCTTTCTCTTCCCCCCCCCTTCCCCCCTTCCTCCCCCCCCCCCCCCCCCCCTCCTTCCTTTTTTCCCCCTCCTTCCTTCCTTCCTTCTTCCTTCCTTCCTTCCTTCCTTTCCTTCCTTCTTCCTTCCTTCTTCTTCCTTCCCTCCCTTTTCTTCCTCTTCTCTTCCTTCCTTCCTTCTCTTCTCCTTTCTCCTTTTCTTTCTTTCCCTTCTCTACCTCTTCCCTTCCTTCCTCTCTTCCTTCCTTTCTCTCTCTCTTCTCTTTCTTCTTTCTCCTTCCTTCCTTTTCCTTCCTTTTTTTCATCGTCATTTTTTCATCTTTTAGCTTTTTGGGTTTTTAAGTCCTTTCCACTGTTTTTTTTTGGGGGGGGTGTTTATGAGTGATGGTCACTCATTGGTCTGTTGGGTATAGTGTCCAAATTTGTCAATTTGTCCAGTGGTTTTTGAGTTATGGTAATCCCACAAATGAACATTACATTTTTATTTATATAGATTATATGTATTACATGTTATAAATATTATATGGCAGAAGACGTACAATCATCATCATCATCTTCTTCTTCAAAACATCTAGTTTGAACTGTGATTCAATAGGTCAATTCCAGCCAGAATTATTGAAACACATATTGTTCTTGTATTCTAATTGAAAAGTATCTGGTATTTTCATGAAGGACCTGATAATTAAAAATGGAGGGAGCATGACAACAAGTCTGAGGATTTCTATGGGAAGCTGTCCTCATAGAGTCTCCACCTTTGAGGGAATATTTACTGGAGAATGAATGCAGTTTGAAACACTTTAACTGCCATGGCTCAATGGTATGGATTTCTGTAAGTCGTAGTTTGGTGCAGTACTGGCACTCTTTGGCAGAGAAGGCTAAAGTCCTTGTAAAACTACAGCTTCCCTTGATTCAATTGAACTGAGGCTTTGAAGTTGACTTGGTGCCAATCTGCATTAATTTGACAGTGTAGATGCACCCTGGTTTTCTCTTTACCCTGCTTCAAACATATTGGAGATATGTGTGTAAAGGAGTGAGCCATCTACAAAGGAGTATCTTCCACCATGAAAAACATTGTTTGGTAATGTTGTGAAGGAAATTAGAGGCTGGCTCACTTGTTGAGAATTCATGGTAACCACCAGATAAAGAAACACGACACTTACCTGTTTCCTACTTCTCTGTCCTTTGGGGAGCAGGGCTTTGGACTTCTCTGCAATTTTCTGTCAATATGGGAAAAAATAATGGTAGAATTACAGCTTGAAACTGAAAAGAAATTCACCAGAATCTTATTTATTCATAATATACTTTTGGGGACGGGGGAGGAATCAAACGAGATGGAGGTAAACTAGCCATTTGATTTGGAAACAAGGGGCTGTACTTTGGGGAAAAAGTACTAGGCTTCTGAGAAACTAAAAGTCATGTCAACTTCAAGGATGGCAGGATTATGGAAAGCAAAGACTATATTTTAAAGGTGAAGTGTGGAAAAGTGGCAATTTGTCATGGCGAAAAGTCTCCAGACACACCCAGGCCATTCAGAAAAGGGGAGGGGAAGGCAATAGGTAATTCCAGCACATTGTAATTTATTTAAAACTAAATGCACAGGTAGAATGTCACATGTTTAGTTTCAGGTAGAATATGTAATTCAGTAAAGGAAGTTCTTTGGGAGGTAGCAGTATTGCTTTGAAGCTTTTGGGTCAACTCTCCAAGTGATTGCATTTTTCCTAGAGTTGCAAAATGGCAACACTGGAAAGCAGGTGAACCCAACAAGCCATGAGCTAGCAACTTCAACTTTGGGGCTGCCAAAGATCAATTTCCTCCCACTCAGGTTGCCAGGTTGGAGTGGATTCCTGTAACTTTAAATGTGGACAGATTGTGGACCAGGATGAGGAAGACCTGTTCACCTCCACAGAGGGATGAAGCTACAGTACAAGTTTCAACTCTTAGCTGTAGCCAGCTCCTTCCAACACAGCTTCTTTCCCAGTAGTGATAAGTAAACAGACATATTATGTGATGTCAATAACAATCACAGATTTGGTGGTCTTCTGGATGTACTCCTCCCATGCTTCAGCAATAGTCATGTTAGGAGGACAGGGCTGTGGCCAAACACTGGAGCTTGGAATGTAAGAGATGATGTAAGTAACATCATTTGGATGACTGAGATTAACATGAGGAAGAA